AGAAGATACTATCGATCCAGAAATAGAAAAAATTATCCTCAACGTTATGTTCACAAGTAACAACGAAAATTTTTCTGAAAAAAATATTGACAACAACGTCTCCTCTACAGAACTGCCTTCTGAAATAGATGTATATACTACCTCTAATCCTAGTCTTCCTTCACCCATTATTTTAAAACAAACAATAAACGACTCTATACATGCTAGTAACAACAAGGATAACATGTTTGACAATGCAGGCTTTGACTATATTCTTCCTACTAATACAAAAGGCAAACAAAAACAAATTTGGCCTGAAGAAATTGAGCAAAATGAAGAAACATGTGACCAAGAAACTCAGGGGGTTTCGTTCAACGTTATTACTGCTCCTACGTGATTTTACGTGACAGATAATGCGTCTGATATAAAAGGAAAATCTATAGCCAAAAAACGCATATTCATAAATTTCCTTTTTGTACGCTTCAATCGTTACCAAGGCTCTATTTACATTTCCAAATTCAGAAAGTTCTCAGTCTTTTTCCGGTCAATGCAGAAACTAACACATGCTATTACAAAGATACAGGAGACACAACATAACCTGCAAAAAAAAAGCAAACAAGACGCTGAAAAAGGAAGGATCCTTAAAGTGTCGGATATTCCCTTATTCGTTAAATCTGATGTGCTACGAAATTTCTTTACTAAATACGGAATGATCACCAGATTCTCAATGATCATCAGAAGCCTATGGCAAATCGCATTTATTGTATTCGAAAATGCCAACGTTATCAAACCATTTTATGACAAACACTGATCCATTCAATTTTTGGACACCACACTCAGGGTGGAACCTACTGATCTTGCCCTATCACAAACTGCATTACGTCAACAATTTGAGTTGAAACTCACAGGCCTGCCTTTTAATACTGACCAACAACAATTTAGCGATTTTCTCGCACACATCAATGCCAGATCATATTTCATCTCATGTGATCAACAATATCGATTAAGACCTTATGCTTTTATTAACTTCATCACCCTAGAAAACCTCAATACTGCGGCTGCGCAAACACAGAAATTTAAAGGAAAAACTCTTTATTGGATGAAACCTGCTACTAAGTATTGTCGAAGCTGTGGCGCGCCCAGCCATAAATTTAAAGATTGTAACAATCATAAAACTGCAAATTCTTATAGACCATTATATGACCGCTTTAAACCCGAATCATACCATCCGCCAAGATATAATAATTTTAACAGATCAAACAATAATACTATCTATGCTAATGCGTTAAAATATAATAATTCCAATCAAAAAAATAATATTCAATCATCACCTCCCAACTCAAATATCGTTGATATGTTAAAAGTAGTTCAGGAAAGACTTAATAATATTAATAACAAACTACTTACAATTAGTGACGAAATCATATTTATTAAAAATGATCTACTTGTTGTCCAACAAAACGAAGAGGATATTGGTTTCTGTTTAACTTGTCTTGAAATAATACACAACATTGAATACGATTTGAAGTATGTTACTGACCCCAACTATATTTTCCCTTCGCATGATGAATATCTAATGGCTGAAGATATTATCTCACCTATCGAAAACATCCCTTCAATTGTCAACGACAATGAACAAATTAACCCAACAACTTCCACCAATTATAATCTCCAATGAATTAATGTAGTCGAATTATCAGTTAACGATATCAAAACAGAAATGAGAAATTTGATCACCACTATCGGCCCTATTATTCAATCGTTTACCATTTCCAAATGATGTCACAACCCAGTGTGTAAAATCTATTGTATAATGTGCACATGTGCACATTAATTTTTTGTGTGCACATATTACACAACATAAAATGTGCACAAATTATTACTAAAAATAGATAAATTATGTATAAAAAGATAATTTTACATAAGAATTAATCAATTTGTATACATAAATTTTAACTTAGATTTTATACACTGTTTTTTATCTACCAAATCATTTCATCTTTATTAACCCATCCTTTTGTATTTACTCTTACAAATATACCATTAGGAAATGTTTCTCGAAGTATATTCTTTAATTTAAAAATAACAATAGGTGGTAATTTTGATTTATCTGCCATACGATCTAAAACAACTGTAAATATACTTCTTTTATATCCAGTAGTTTTGATATTAATAGTATTAGAACTGCATTTTTCTAAAGTATATGAATTAAATAAATCAAAAGCTATAGGAAGGAGTCTTATTCATATTTCTAATAAATTAAAATGGATATTCATATTGTATTCTTCTATAAAGAACAAAACTCAAAAAACTTTGCTGCTTTTCAAGTAAATCTTTTGGTAAATTCTGAGATACTATTGTTCTTCGACGATTTGAAAGATCATAACGATTCATAAAACAATCCATCCATTTATTTGAAAATTTAAAAAAAGAAATGTTAGGATATTTTTTTTTTTTGATATTTATCAGTTTATGCAAGTTCTTTGGCTTTCTTTGTTGCTATATTTCTGGTAATTAGGAGACCTTATTTTCTACATTCCAAAATCCAATTTGCTAACTCATTATCTAATTCCAAAAAAAATGCTTATCTATCACTGTATAATTTTAATAAATGAGGTGCAAAGGCTTTAAGTTGGTTTTTTTATTCCTTCAGTCACAAACTTGGTTTGGTTGTAAATCAAAATGTCTTGTAATAGCACAAACACTATTTAAACTATTTAAAAAATGCAAAACCATTAAATTTTCACAAACTGACCAATTTCTCTTTTTTTAAGAGTAAACCTAAAACGCTTGACACTTTTATTTGCTCTAACCATTTTTAATAGTATAATAGTGAAACACAATACAAAAAAGTGAAACGTAATACAAAAAATGGCCTGATCAAACTACCTGGGTATTTTGAAAATTTATGGATAGATTTGTAAAATACCCGGAGTGGTTTAGTCAGCGCTCTACAGTACTTAGTAATTTAATAATCTACCTATTATTTGTTGATTTTGTAGGAGTACGAAATTGATCCAATTTCATTGTCGTTGAAAGAAAAGGTTCCTTGAAAATTTGATCTTTATACTCTTTTGCTTTTCTGACAATTAGTAATACCTGACTAAACTCTTTTTTGAAAATTGTAATTTCGTCAAAAGTTTCGTCTCTTTATAAATAAATATAAAATTATTATATTTTTTAATGTATTTTAATTCAAGAAATTTAGATCAAGTTAAATATAATTTCAGCAATTAAGTAAAATAATTTCATTATTAATAAAAAACTAGTTTTGTCATTTCAGTTTCGTCAATTTCGTCATATTAAGAAAGGTAATTTCATCAGGTATCACTAGTGACAATACTTCATCTACTTCCATATCATTAGTTGGTAAATTCTCCGATGACCAATCCCAAATTCCATAAAGGTCTCTATTAATTTGAAGAAGAATGTAGAAACGGATATGCATTCTGATAACATGAAAAAATATTACAGTTATTAATGCAAGCTTTTCTTGTAAATTAGGTAGTAAAGGGTTACTTTCACTCTTTTCGATCAATAAAGTATAAAGCCGGATATGTTGTGTCTGGGAAATAACAAATCCACAAAATTCATCTTAGTTTTATCATGATGATCCTTATGCATGGGCCCGATGTTCTCTCCAACTCCGGCCTCTATATTAAAATTCTACGAAGATTCTCATTAGAACAAAATTATACATATGCATGCTCATGTAATTAAATAAAATGTTTACCCAAAATATAAAATCGCAAGGTTTTCCCGTGCGATCTGTACCAGAACACATCTTTTTATCATCGTGATCTGCTTCTGAATGGTTTTCACCGCTAAATAAAACACAATAAATGATACTTAGTAATATTACTGAAATGTCAGACAAAAACGATCAAGTAGTAAGTCAAAATTCTTACTATGTAAAGAGAGTGTGCGGGGTTTGATCTATATATGGGTAGTATTCTATTAAAATTGAGGTACGGATCATATGATTTACTATGTCTCGTAATCCACTTTAATAGATTAACTCCCATATCACTATTTACAATGTTTATGTGTAAGTTTATAATAAGAATAATAAAATAATTGTATAAAGAAAGTCTTACGCATCTACTAAACATCTTTCAATGTATATTATATCATCATCAACATTTATATTATTTACGATTTCAAGGAATCCTTTTTGGTCATCATTCTGTTACAAAGTTGATAAAAAAATTTAAAATAGATCTATATATGATAATGATACAATAAAAAAATCAACTTACATCATTAAGTTCTGCTACTTGTTTCATTAACATATACAACCCAGATATTCCCTGAGCCCCATTTTCTTTTGCGAGTACCTGAAGACTTCTGATTTTTGATAATGACAATGCTTTCAGAAGAGAATTAGCAGATTTGTTGATTTTTTTTTTCTCTTCGTGAATGGCATCATTGGCTAAAGTAGAAAGAGAATCAAATTTTTCCCTTGAGAAAAACTGTTTAGCATGGGGAAGGTTAGGAAACAGTGACAAATTCTCTTCTCGTAAATCGAAAATGCCCTACCAGAGTGGGTTATATCAACATAAATATACGTAATATCAGCATAAGGAATTTAAAATTATAAAATAAGTAAATAATATACTTATAATGTGCATTGTTATTCACCTTTCTTACAGATTCAACAGCTCTGATCGCATTTACATATTCAACAAAGGAAATGTCATCAATTTTTTGACGCTTTCCAGAACCTTGCGAGTTATTACCATTGACAGTTTCATCTTTCGTATCTGTTCGAATTTTAGAATTCGCTAAATGAATGAAAAAAAATTTTTTACAAGCTTTCCAATAAAACAAACCAATTTTTTTACCATTGGTTACTTTGCTATTTTTACAGCTTCGCTTATTGCTACTCATTGATGATAGTTGTTGAGAGTTGATTAATGATAAGTATTCATTAAGTATTAATATTTCGTTAGTATATCAAACTTAAATAAGGAAGGTACATAACTGATTCCTCCTCCAAAATTAGTAGAACTTATTCAAAAAAAGCTCATTAGATTACTTCTGTGGATATAAACAAGCCACTTTGCCAAATAGATGGTTGGTCCTGCGGGAATCACCCTTAGGCGATCTCACAAAGGCAATCTAAAGGGTTTGATTACTACTAATATACATACCTGATCTTTCTTAAGAAGTCAGTTGCTTCTGCGATGAAGGAACAATTTAGGTGCGAACTTTTCTTCTATCAAAAAGGCCTTCGGTAAATTTTTATAAAAACGTATCGGATCAGACTAAAAAAATTTTTTAAGAAAATACGAAATATACAGATAGAGTTTCAAATATTACGTGATTACGCAAGTGATCTACATGACTAATGAAATGTAAATGTGTGACGGTGATAAGTAAGGATGTTAAGGTCTATGATTAAACAGTTCAGAAAATAGTCTGATCATAGAACCGGTTTCGGTTCAGTTATAGGGTTAAAATCGAACTGAAATTGAGTCGAATCAAACTGATTTTTAGACTGGTTTAGATGATCAATCTAATTTAAATAGATATGTGTGTAACTGAAAAAATGCGTTAATCATTGATCATTTTAACTAAAATTGCATTATTATTTGTATTGCAAATATGTCTGGTGATATTTCTTATGAAAATGATGACAATATTTCAGAAGTTTCTTCAGTTTCCTTAGCCAAAGAAGAAACTCATACAACAAAAACTCGTAATTTAGACGTGTGGAATTTTTTTTTAAAAGTTCTAGATGAGAAAAATGGATTAATTAAAATTATAAATGCACTTTATGTGCTAAACTCTATTCCCCTGGCATCCAACAACAACACTTCGAAATCATTTAACTAAAAAACATTCATTACATTATAAAAAACCTGAAAATCATCAAATTACTTTAAAGAAATGCGCTTAAAACCCTATTTCCCATCACAATCTAAATTAATCACAAATTCTTTGATTGATGCTGTTGCAACTAATTTACAACCTTTTTCTATTGTTGAAAATTCTGAATTTAAATTGTTTGTTAACAATTTGAATCCTCATTATATTTTACCATGTAGATAAACTTTGAAAGACAATTTTATAAAAAATTACAATATAAGAAGAAGTAATTTAAAAGATAAAATTTCACAAATTAATTCAAAGATAATCTCTCACAACAGATATATTGACATCAAATCCAAAGGATTGTTATGCAAACAAGGATGCGAATGATCTAATTTTATTGCAAGTATTGATCTATGAGTCTTTGATTTTGCCAGTATTAATACTTTGCATGAAAATACATTCCAGTTTCTGAAGGTCAAATAGTTGCCTATAGTCTTTTTTAAGTGCTGAGAGTCTAAGGTCTTTAATGTGATCAGATGACTGTCTATAGGGAATAGTCAATTCCGCAGCTTTAATGATGCACTGTTGAAGATGGTTCCAGTAATAAAAGTTCAAGTTATGGATTGATGATAGACAGGCCAAAGTCATCTGTTTGAGGTGACATGATTCTAACAGGTTATCAGTTTTCTGTGAAAAGGTTTCCCATTATTGATCATTAACTTTGTCATATAGAAAAACGGTTTTTTTAACTGCTTTAGTTGAAATAGTTCTTTGAGTCACCTCTGGAATGGTGATTTTAGTAATAACAATGGAATGATCAGTGTATTGTGGGTTTACACTAATGACTTCTGATGATATAATACTATTTGAAAGGGCATTATAGAAAAAAATGTGATCAATATAAGAGAAAGGTGATGTAGAAGAACGACTATACGTGGTATAGGTAATATCCGCATTATCATGAACAAGATCATATAAATTGAATATGTTATATGATTTAAGGAAAGAGAAAAATTCATTTGACTTAGAAGAGTTAACTGGACGAGTCAGGATAATGTTAAAATCGCTGAGTAGGATGATATGTATGTTCTTTATCAAAGCTTATTGAATAATTTCAGATACTTCTTTGATGGTTTGTGTACGTAGTTGAGTATTAGAACTGGAAATGTAGACATTAAGGTTCCTCAAAATTGAATCAAATCAAATATTTAAGCAATTTGAATTTGATTTGATTTTTTTAAATCGAATTGAATTGAATTGAATTGAATTGAACTCAAATATTTGATCGAATCAATTTGAATCAATTTGAATTTGATCGAAT